GGATAGACACACACACGCACAAACAGTCGTGTTTACACAACACAAACAGTCGTGTTTACACAACACAAACAGTCGTGTTTACACAACACAAACAGACACGCAAACAGGCTTGCTTATCGCAGACACAGACAGACACACAAACATGGATAGACACAGACGCACACTGGTAGACACACACACAAGAACACAAGCACACAGACACACACAGACACAAAGACACAGGCTTGTAGTGACAAAAAGTTTCCCCAGAACCAGTATAGGCCTATAATCACTTTGGCCTGCGCCACTCGTGTTTACACACAGACACACGCACACAAGGACACAGTTAGGCACACACAGATACACGGACACCGACACACACAACGACAAAGACACGCACAGACACACGCATAGAAACACGGTCACGGCCACACACGGACAGAGGCACACACGGACACACTGACACAATCTGTGTCGCTGTTCGTATGTCTTTTTGTGCACCGCACACGAACACAGACTCAGCCCAGAACTGTTATAGGCCTATAACCACTTTCGTCTCTGGCAGTCGAGTTTACACACAAACACACGCACACAAGGACACAGTTAGACGGACACAGTTAGACACACACAAACACACACAACCACAAACACAACCACAAACACAACCACAAACACAACCAAACACACACAGGCACAGGCGCAAACAACAAGACACAAGAACACACAGATACACACACACACACAGACACACACGCGCACACACACACGCAAACACAGGTACACGCACACACAGACACACACACACGCACAGACAGCCACACACACAAACACAGACACACAGACAAGCAGACGCACAAACACACATAAAGACAGAGGCCTGATAGCGGTCCCAAAAGTGTTTAAGGCCTACAAGCACCTTTGCATATTTTTGTGCCCGAGGCCGCACACAGACACAAGCACAAACATACACTCACAGGCACGCACACAAGAACACAGGCACACAGACATACGCAGACGTTCAGACCGAGACACACACACACACAAACGGAGACACACACAGACACACACACAGACACACACATAGACACACACACAAAAACACAGGCTTGAAGTGCTGATAAGTTTTCCCAAGAAAATCACGGGCCTTTAATCACTGGTAGACACATACACAAGAACACAGGCACAGCGACACACACAGATATAAAGACACAGGCTTGTAGTGACAAAATAGTTTTCCCAGAACCAGTATAGGCCTTTAACCACTTTCGCCTGCGCCACTCGTGTTCACACACAGACACACGCACACAAGGACACAGTTAGACACACACAGATACACGAACACTGACACACACAACGAGAAAGACACGCACAATCCGTGTCTGTGTTCGTATGTTTTTTTGTGCACCGCACACGAACACAGACACAACCCGTGTCTGTGTGCGTCTGTCTTTTTGTGTCTGTTTTCGTGCCTGTGTCTGTCTGTGCACAGTGGCTCAGGCAAATTCCCAGAACTGTTGTAGACCTTTAACTACTTTGTCTGTGGCAGTCGAGTTCACACACAAACACACGCACACAAGAACACAGTTAGACATACACAGACAGACACGCACACACACACACGCAAACACCGGTACACGCACACACAGACACACACGCACACACATACACGCACACACACACGCAAACACAAGTACACGCACACACAGACACACACACACACACACACACAAGGACACATTAGACACATACAGACACAAGCGCACACACACACACAAAGGCACAAACATACACTCACAGGCACGCCCACAAGAACACAGGCACACAGACATTCAGACATAGACACACACACACACAAACAAAGACACACACAGACACACACACAAAAACACAGGCTTGAAGTGCTGAAAAGTTTCCCCAAGAAAATCATAGGCCTATAACCACTGTTAGACACACACACAAGAACACAAGCACAGAGACACACACACGAACACAAGAACACAAGAACAAGCTTGTATTGTCAAAAAGTTTCCCCCGAACCAGCACAGGCATCAAATCATTCTCGCCTAAAGACACAGGCTTGTATTGTCAACCAGTTACCCCAGACGCACACAGACACACACAGACATAAAGACATAAAGACACAGGCTTGTATTGTCAATCAGTTTCCCCAGACGCACACAACCAGACACACAAGAACACACAGATACACACACACACATGCAAACACACGCCTGCCACACACAAAGAGGCACACAGACACACATACATACACGCAAAGACAGCCATACACACAAACAGAGACACACAGACACACATAAAAACAAAGGCCTGGAAGTGGTCCCAAAAGTGCTTACGGCCGACAAGCACCTTTGACTTGCCTGCCACACACACAGAGGCACACACACAGACACAAACAACGACGCACACACAGGCACAGACGCACACACAGACACACACACACACGAAGAGCGACACACAGAGACACACACGGGCACAGGGAGACACACACAGACACACACAGACACACACGGGCACAGGGAGACACACACAGACACACAGACACACACGGGCACAGAGACACACAGGCAAAACAAGCAGGGGTGCTAGGGCCCTGTAACCAGTCTCACCGTGGCTGACATTTGTTTTGGATGCCTCTTTGCGTGCAGTCCATTCGTGACGATGAAGACATCCCGAGGCGCGAGGGGTGCGAGCAAGGGGAGGAGTGCAAGAAGAACCGGCACAGTGTCTCGGGGGCAGCCGGCGTGCTCCTAAGGGGTTGTGCAGCAAAGGCGACCACTGGAGCAGGATGATTTTCCCCAAATGGGAGAAGGAGATAAGGAAGAATATGTTTTAGAAGAAGGAGAGTTCGTGGCAGGAGAAGGCGTAGGAGAGGAAAAGGAAGGAGAGGAGAGGAAGGAGAGGGAGAGAAAGAGGAAGAGGAAGGAGTAGAAGAAGAAGAAGAAGAAGAAGAAGAAGAAGAAGAAGAGGAAGAAGACGACAAAGAAGATCCAATGGAGGAGGACGACAGCTGGCAGAGAGAGTTCCTCGAGTCGAGGCTCATTCGCAGCGAGTTCAAGTACTTCTTTTGGGCCGTGTACGTCGCAGCTGGATTAGCTTATCTTCACGTCAAGACCAGCGGCAACGGTGTCTATCTATGAATCGGTGAAATTTTATTTGCAGTGCACGTGACGGAAAAATATCTCATCGCGGAGTTGTGGGTCGTTATCAAGGGCAAGCTCACTAAATGTCTGTTGAAGGGGGATAAATTCATGCCGATGAAGATGCCCATCCAAAACAGGAAATTGCTGGCATTAAGCAAGACTGGTTGCACGGTAAATGCTCTCGTCTCCCCTAATTCCCACTGCATATCTCTCTTTGCAGGAAGTTGCAGAGCTGCAAGTTTCATTCCGTTTCTTTGAAGTCGTAGATCTTCATTTTCAGGCCTGTAACTTCCACGGCGTATCCGGTAGTTGTAGGCCTGTAACTTCCATGACGTATCCGGCAGTTATAGGCCTATAACTTCCACGACGTAACCGGAAGGAATAGGCCTAAAACTTCCACGGCATAACCGGAAGGAATAGGCCTTTAACTACCGGATACGCCGTGGAAGTTACAAGCCTGAACCTCCATGGCGTTTCCGAGAGTTATAGGCCTATAACCTCCATGGAAGTTATAGGCCTAGAACTACCGGATACGCCGTGGAAGTTACAAGCCTGAACCTCCATGGCATTTCCGAGAGTTGTAGGCCTATAACCTCCATGGCGTTTCCGAGAGTTCTAGGCCTAAAACCTCCATGGCCTTTCCGAAAGTTATGGGCCTAAAACCTCCATGTCGTTTCTTAGAGTTGTAGCCCTGTAACTTCCACTATGTCTTCCTTGTTTCTGGGAAGTTATAGGCCTATAACATTGACTGCGTCCTCCTCGTTTCCAGAAGTTTGACTCTTTGAGGTTGCAGGCATGTAATGTTTTTTCACATTTGCGTTGTTCTATTGCACTTGTCGTACGCAGTGTTGCTCTAAGTATGTGTAATAGGCCTATAAGTTTCTCTGACACACTTGGTCGGCCATTGCTTTTTTTTCTGCTTCCAATGTGTTGCCCAGCCGTTCATGGAAGGACTTTCTGAGTTCTTACAGGCAAATTTGGACGAGAAACTTCTTCCTTTAAAATATGCAGAGGAAGCGGAAAAATCACAAACTCCAACGACGACGATGACGACGGCCACGTAGGGTGGCTCGAAAGCGAGGTCGCAACGCCCCAAAGATGTGATTTCTCCTCAAACCATTGTCGGGTCTTCCGGTAGTCTGGACAGGGGATCGGGCACAAAGACGATTCCCGGGAAGATTCGCGGGAAGAAAACTGTCACACCGGGTCCACCTCGTCCGGAAGGGCAAGGGGAGGGGAAGGGAAGGAAAGAGGAACCCCAAGTACCCCAAGGTTTCGTGCCGAACGAGCGCACGGAAGATTTGATAAAAACTTGGGAGGAGTTGAAGAGTTTGAAGGAGAAGAAACTTTCACATGAGTCCTTTTACCTGCTGATGAGATGTTTGAAGAGGCCACCCCTGGTGAATGGGAAAAGACCAATGGAGGTGAGAGAGCCGGACGAGGACCATGTGAAGTCCATCATGGACTCCATGTTGAAGCAACCAACTGGAGATCATCTTCCCTTTGTTGGCCTCGTCGACCCTGCCCAGGCCCGGCGCAAAGAAGACGTGAGCTTGACGAAACTGAGAGCCGGCGACTACGACATTTTTGTGCTTGGTGGTGGCCACGGTCGGGAAGCGAGGGAGCGATTAGCACGCATGAACCCCAACAACGAGGAGTACCAGTACAATGTGTGCTATGTTTACGTTGGCCTTACGATCGATGAGGTGAGGCAAGTTACCCACAGGCATAACCTTGCGGCGGGTTACCACAAGGACTTGAGCTTCATCGAGAAGCTCAGGTGCTGGTGCCAAGTCTTTGAGAGGAGGGGGTGCGTCAAGTCGCAAGAAGTGAAGCTCGCTTGCCTAAAAGAAGCAGGGATTCCGAACGCTGCGAAAAAATTGAATGCCCAAGACCCGTTGCTGCAATGTGCTTTCAAACCCCAAGAGATTTGAGAGCTCATGTGTAAGATCATGAGCATGTGGCAGAAGGGCGAGGTCAAAGGTCAAAAATTGAAGCCGGCTGCGAGGAGCTTCTTGAAAGCGGACCAGGATCTGGAAACAATCGAGTCCGAGCGTGCGAAGAAAAGCCAGCGTGGGAAGAGGCTTGATAGGGCAGCTGCAAAGGAACAAGAAATGGCGCTTCTTTATCCATGGGTGCAACTGCAGGGTAACAAGGTCCCCATGGTCGCGGAGGACATGCCAGAGAACGCCGTCCCTATCCTCCTTGAGGTCGTTGCGAAGCAGATCTCGCTCAAGGAGATGGAGAAGAAGTTCCAGCTTATCAAGCAAATCGCCTACGTCTGCAAGGCATTTGCAGTGGGGGTGGGCGCTGCTGACTTCAAGGAGGCCGAGAAGGAGTATCCTCTCCACACAAAGAAAGAGATTTTGGAGAAGTTCGTTGGTGGCATTAGAAGGGGTCAAACGAGTATCCCCGCACTGGATGGCCATATTAAACGGGCTATTGAATGGAAGAACAAGGAGAGGAGACTGCAAGCAAAAAACGCTATTCACACGTTCCGTACGAAACCTTTTGTGGAACCGTTCGTCGAGTGGACGGAGGTGACACACGACAACGACTCGGCGGAAGTGAAAATTATCAATGGCGACATGCGCTTGTTGTCGAAGCTGCAGACAGAAAAGCTGCCGATATCTCTGGCTATTTTCGACTTCCCTTACGGGTTCGCACATGAGGGCCACGCATCTGATAATGAGCCGTTTCCGGAGTCGGACGTTGTGGAGGTTCTTCACAATCTGAAGGACGTTTCCAATGCCCCGTTGTGGACAGTTGCGGGATTTTGTTCCGTGGACATGCTTCCTTCCATCCGTTCCGCGTTCCGGGAGGTTTGCAATGCAGGGCAGGAGCTTTTGACGTAATGCAAGCCTAATGTGATGAATCCGGGTGGGCCGCGGGTTGTGACGCAGAAGTACCAGCACCCTGGTGGCGGTGTTCTCTGCCCGTACCAGAAGCCGTAAACTTTGTACTCCTGGCTTGTGAACAAATTCTCTCCCGCAGGGGTTTGCGTTCTGGATGGTTTCTCCGGTTCCGGCACAGGCGCCATAGCGTGCGTCAAGGCAAATCGGAATTGCCTTGTGGTGGAGATAAACACCAAGTGCACTAAGGGCATCGCCACGAGGCTTCTGACAGACATCGGCGGCACACTTGCGCGCGAAACGCTAAAGCGGAAAGAAAACTTCGCACAAGGCAGCCCGACCTCTAAGTTGTCTGGGGATACGAAGTCTGCCGAAAATGAACTCGTGCCCGATGAAAACATGGGCACTGCTGCTGGAGTGGCGGACAGCGCTGAGGCTGTCGTTGTCGGGCCATCAGGTGCGAGTTTGCCCACTGTCGAGGCTGTTGCCGGCCCGTCCTTTGTGGAGCAAACTATTACCGGTGCTGAGCCCGCTTTCGCTGTGCCTCTTCTCGGTGAGGGTAGACCCGTGCCTGCTTCCATGCATGAGCCCGGCGTTGTTCCTGACGCTAGACCAGAGGCTGAGACGCAACCTGCGTCCGGGCCTGTTCCCGCTGCTGCAAATGCTCAGCAAAGTGTCTTGAGCCTCGCCATGAGCCAGGAATCGAGCGGGACCACGACTGGCGGAAGAAAGGGGCGCAAACGAAAGGCAGGCGGTGAAGAGGTGTCGAGTCCGCATGGTGGGGTAGCGATTGGCCTCAAGGCCAATACTCACTCACGGACTGCGAAGTGACTGAGGCCACACCGTATCCTTTGGATATAGGCCTATATATCATGTGGGGACACGCACTTTCGATATAGGCCTATATTGCATATGTGGCCTCAAACCACACATGCAATTTAGGTCTATATTGCATGTGTGGCCTCAAGTCGCTTTCGTGTTCTGCCGACTCTTCCGTCTCGGTTGCTTCTTCTCCTTCCGCTTGTTCTTTTCACCATGAGTAGCCTCAAACCACAGATCGCCCGCGACAATGACAAAAGGTCCAGGAGCTGCCGTCTGTTGGCGACGAATAATGATTTGCTTGGTACATTCCGGTCAAAGAGCCGAAGCAGGATCGACAACGATCCATGTAGCAAGGATTGCGCCTCTCGCAATTGGTGCGAGAGGAGAAACCAAGCTTTATTCGTTCACGAGTCTCCTGTGAGGATTCTTGTGGTTTGTGGTCTTGGAGTTGCCATTCATTGATGTCGAATAATGATTTTCTTGGTGTGTTCCGGTCAAAGAGCCGAAGCAGGATCGACAACGGTCCATGTAGCAAGGATTGCGCCTCTCGCAATTGGTGCGAGAAGAGAAACCAAGCCTTATTCGTACACGAGCCTCCCCTGGTGTGTGCTGCTTTGTCCGCATCCCTCCCGGGATTGATCGCCGCCCCTGCGTTGTGGGAATGTGTGCTGCTTTGCCTGGATGCCTCTCCCAAGATTGGTTGTCGTCCCTTCGTGGTTGGAGCTATGTGGTTTGGCACATGGCTTCGTTTTCCGAAGAATTGTTATTGTGTATAGTAGACTAGCTTTCTGTTTTTTAGGTCGTGGAAGTGGGAACCAGGCGCACTCGGTTCGTGGTTCGGGCTGCAGTAGGTCGTCAATTTTGAGAGTGTCATTACTGGGAACCATGTGCTCCGCTGTGTATTGTAGCCATTTAGAGGAACGAGGGCACATGACTTTGTTTTTTTACAGAATTGTTATTGCGTAGAGTAGGCTAGCTCTTTCCCTTTTAGGTCGTGGAAGTGGGAACCAGGCGCACTCGGTTCGTGGGTCAGACCGCAATAGGTCGACAATTTTGAGAGTGTCATCATTACTGGGAACCATGTGTTCCATTGTATTGGGAACCATGTGTTCCATTGTACTGGGAACCATGCGTTCCGTTGACAATTTTGAGAGTGTCATCATTACTGTGAACGAGGCCAGGGGAGGTCCACCCAGGGGCACTCGACATAGGTGTCGTAGTTTTCGGTGCATTGTGGTACTTTAGTTTACACGTGGAGTAACTTAGTGGACCATCTCTGGTTTTGCTTCTTTTGTCGGATTTGGTTTAGTTCTTCTGTCATACTTTTCTCTTTTTCTAAAGGTTAATTTTGATAACCCTCTATTTTTTATTATAAAGGCTGTTTCTGATAACCCTCTCATTTTCGTTCGTGAGTTTTTGTTCACTTACCTTTGGGTGGACGACCACTCTCTCTCTCTCTCTCTCTCTCTCTCTCTCTCTCTCTCTCTCTCTCTTTCTCTCTCTCTCTCTCTCTCTCTCTCGTAAAAGGTGTCTCGGGCTAAGAAAACAGTGTTATAGGCCTATAATCACTAAAGGCCTTTAATCACTTTCGTCTGTGTCAGTCGAGTTAACAGACAAACACACGCACACAAGGACAAAGTTAGACACACACAGACAGACACAACTACACACACACAACCAAACACACACAACCACACACACACAGGCTCAGACGCACACAACCACACACACACAGGCTCAGACGCACACAACCACACACACAAGAACAGACAGACACACGCACATACAGATACACATACACACAGACACACACACACAGCTGCCACACACACAAACACAGTCACACTAAAACATATAAAGACAAGGCCTGGAAGTGGTCCCAAAACACCTTTGCCTTGCCTGCCACACACACACATAGGCACACACATAGACACGAACAACCACGCGCATATAGACACAGATAAATGTATTCGAGGGTTTTTCAAACGCTCAAACATGTTCCGAGACATATTCTCTCAAACCTGAGCGAACATATTGTTTTCTACCGTTTTTTTGTTTTTTGTTTAATTAATTCCTGAACTGGTGTACCCTGGATAGCCCTGATTGGTATTAGCGGGGTCTATGACCAACACGGGTGTGAGTGCGAGCGCGAGTGGGTTGTGTGTGGTGTGTGGAAGAGTCTTGGCCAAAGCCTCTGCTGCTGCTCAGTGAAGGGTGGGGGACGATGAGAAAGGGCGGCATAGCTACTGGCAGGTCTCGGTCTTTGTGTTAGGGTCTTTGTGTTACGGACGATGAGCTAACGACAAGTGTTTGTGGTCTGTGTTTGGGCTCTTCGCCCTTAGAAAGAAAGGAAAACAAGAAGGAAAAAAAGAACTCACCACATGCACACACGCACGCACACGGATGTGCAGATACACACACATGATTGGTTGATTGGTTGATTGATTGATTGGTTAGATCCACCAGCCTCAAGTACGCAAACCCAGACACGCAGACACAGACACACACACAAACACAGAGGCACACATACAAGAACGCAGGCACACAGACACACACAGACACACACAAACACACAGACATAAAGACAGTGGCTTGAAGTGTCGAAAAATTTTCCCAGAACTATTAGAGGCCTTTAATCACTTCCGCGTGTGCCAGTCGTGTTCGTACACAGACACACGCACACAAGGACAAAGTTAGACACACACAGACACACGGACACAGACACACACAACGACACACGCACACAGACACGCACACACAGGTACACATACACACAGACAGAAACACACAACCGCGCACACATAGACAGCCACACACACAAACACAGACACATAGACACACAGACAAACACGTAAGGACAGAGGCATGAAAGTGGTCCCAAAAGTGTTTAAGACCTGCATGCACCTTTGCCTTGCCTGCCACACGCGCACAGACACGCACACGAACACGGACACAGACACATACATACACAGACACATTAAACGACACACGCACACAAACACATACAGACACACTTACACAGTACGTGTCCGTGCTTGTATATTTTTTGTGTACCACACACGAACACAGACGCAGCCCGTGCCCGTGTTTTCATGAGCATGTGTTTCTGTGTGTTTGTGTCTATTTCCGTGTGTGTGTCTTTGAGTGTGTACACTGGCACTGACTAACACTAGCACACACACACAAAGTAGCATTCCCCATAACTGTTATAGGCCTATAATCACTTTCGTCTGTGCCAGTCGAGTTTACACACAGACACACGCACAGAAGGACACAGTTAGACAAACACAGACAGACACAACCACACACACACAACCAAACACACAGGTAGAGACGCACACAACCACACACAGATACACACACACACACGCATGCACACAGATACACACACACACAGATACACTCACACACAGATACACTCACACACACACGCACACAGAAACACACACACACACACACACACACAGATACACACAGACACAGACACACACACACACACACACACAGGTATACATACACACAGACAGACACACACAACTGCGCACACACAACTGCGCACACACAGACAACCACACACACACACACACACACACACACAGACAAACACATAAAGACAGAGGCCTGAAAGTTGTCCCAAAAGTGTTTAAGGCCTGCATGCACCTTTGCCTTGCCTGCCACACGCACACGGACACAGACACAGACACATTCAACGACACACGCACACAGACACATACTTACACACTGACACAGTCCGTGTCCGTGTTTGTATGTTTTTTGTGTACCACACACGAACACAGACTCAGCCCGTGCCCG